TTTTATCGCCGAACGATTAGTTTTCATATGCAAACGCTCGGGTTTCGGATCCGGGGCAATTTTTAGGTAATCTGGTCTGACCATCGGGCGAATATTACCTCTCTCTCTGCCTACGTCTGACTAATCTGACATCTAACCATTTCCGCTTTCTTCTGCGTTTACACATAAGATTTTTTTCCCATTTCAACCTCAAGAGTTTGATTGTAGTTATGTCAAGTTGATGGAAGAAACCATGAGGTTATTTTAAAGATTTTCATGAGTCGTTAGCATTTATCAATAAAAAAGAATGTCAATCCGGAAATTCCTTCTAATTTCTTTCTCTTGGTTTTGTTATATTTGAAAAAACTTTACAGTGTCTAGATAAAAATTGTCATTTTATCCAACGGTCAGCCCTCAAGCAAATAACAGTACTTTAACTGATACAGACAACTTTGAAAGGATTTATTCACTTACATTTCATATTGTAGTCAAGTAAATAACAATACAACATGAAAATATCTATTATGATAAACAGAACGTACATATGAAGTTCAAACTACATTTTAAACTTGCTTTTTTTCAATAAGTTCTAAAACTTTTTATGAACAATGCACTCTATCAAAGTCTCATCTTTCGACTTCTATTATGCTCAACAAACGCCCTGTTATCTAGTGGGAATAGCACAATTTAGTAATATCCTGTTGGGCAGTTACTAATTGTGTTAGGGCTGATATGACATAACTTTAAATATGTGTTCTCTGTGCCAAACCCAATCAAACGCTTTCTCAACATCAATAGGTAAGTAACATCACCAAATGCTTTTTTTATATTAAAATAATGATTATTTAGAGATAGTGAGATGCATTCTGGTGTGACGTAGGTTTTAGAAAAATATTTTCTTTATTGTGCCAACGTTTCGACCTTTATTGAGATCACCTTCAGGGCCTGGGATTTATAAAGATTGTGTAACTTTTACAATTACATGTAGAATGTGAAAAAATGAATTTATACAATGCTAGAAAAAAATGAATTTATACAATGCTAGAAAAAAATGAATTTATACAATGCTAGAAAAAATGAATTTATACAATGCTAAAAAAAATTTAGTTAAAAAAAACTGAATTTATTGCAATGCTAGAAAATTTTAGATTCAAAAAAATGAATTTGTACAATGCTAGAAAAATTTAGATTAGAAAAATTGAATTTGTACAATTGTAATTAATTATAATTTTACATTAAAAAAATTTTTTTTAATCTAAAATGTTCTAGCATTGAAAAAATTAAGTTTTTCACATCCTAAATGTGTTTGTAAAATTTAAACAATGCTCATAAAGCCCAGGCCCTGAAGATGATTTCAATAAAGATCGAAACGTTGGCACGATAAAGAAAACGTTTTTCTAAAACCTAAGTGACACCAGACCGTATCTCACGATCTCCGAATAATCACTAACTAACGGTCACACCACACATTAAAATAAGGAGAATCGTATCCATGCACCACTCTTCCCAGATGAATGGAAGTATTGCGTTGTCTGGAAAATAATGCTGGATTATGGTTATAAAATAAAAACAATTAAATAAAAGCTTTTATGCTTTTTTTGTCTATTAAAATACATTCATCACTCTCGATACACTTTTCCCAGAGGGGTGGCACTTCTCTATACCATCTGAATAGAATTTTGTTATTAACAAATTCTATATATGAATTTTTTAACGATTTTTGATCAATAAATTTTTTATGTTGTAAAACGTTGTTCAGGTGTCTGAAAAAATGGTAGTCGGTTGGCGAGAGGTTTGGAGAATAAGGATGGTGAGGCAGAACCTCATAACCAAATTCTGAAAGTTTTCGTGTTGTCACATGTGAGACATGGGGCCGGGCGTTGTCGTGTAACAGAATCAACCTTTTCCGATTGACCAAAGGTGGCTTCAATAATGCCAATTTCTGGTGCATTGCTTCAATTTGAGAGCGATACATTTCGGCATTGATTGAAGAAGCTGTAGTAAATCAGCCCAAATGAAGCCAACCAAAGGGTCATTGTCACCTTTTTGTTGAGTGGGGCCTTTGGAAAACGTGATGCAGCTTCTCCTTTGTCCAGCCACTGTCCAGAACGTTTCCTGTTATCGTAGAGAATACACTTTTCATCACAAGTAACAATTCTGTCCAGAAAAAGAATGTTTCTGTTTCGGCAAAGAAGTGTTGTGCAAACTTCATAACGATGATTTTTTTGGTGGTCGTTTAATGCACTTTCGAGCTTTTTCGCCTTTCCAATTGCCTTAAGGTTGTCAGCAAAAGTCAATTTGTTAACCGAACGATACTCTGCAAGTTTTCGAATAGTCCAATTATACTTAAAAAAAATTTTATGAAGAGAGAGACCACTAGGATGTGAATTACAGAGTTCCTCGACTGTTGCAATCATTGTTTTTATCTCGTGTGAACGAAACGCCACAACAAGAAGGATTTCGACGCGTGTTTTGATTGTTCGGAAATTGACAAATATGTTATTGGTGTTTAGATTGTTTTCATTTATACTTTTTAACGCAATGGCATGAACAATTAAAAATTACGATTGAAACATGCGTCACGGGTGGGATTCGAACCCATGGGTATCCGAAAACCGACACATTTTTCAATCTAAATATTTAACTGTTTATGATATATCCGACGGATTTATCTACCAATACAAAAAGCTCGCCCATTTTGAAAGCACCATTTGATAGAGAAAACCAGCGAAAACAAGAGGACCTGGATCATTCTTGTGGACTCCTTACCTGATAGGAGTACAGACAGAGGAAATCCCGTGTAGGAACTGATAGGATGAAGACGAGACCGCAGAACGCGTTTGATGTTTTTTTGAGGATCCATGTACATCCAAATTCTTGCAACTAGTAGAGGAAAAATCGCAAAATCCTAAGGAGCTGTTGGTAGGGCTATAGAGGTTGATTAACAACCTAAAGCGAATTATAAAAAACGGAGGAGCACAATAAATCTACTCAGGTCAAGGTGGAAGAGGCCTCGTGGCCGCTTCTTTTATCCCTATCCCTATCGGTATAAAAATGGGTCATAAAGATATGATATTTTCCACAAAACAAAAAGCATCGGCTAAAAAAGTGGAGGATAAAAATAAATGCCAGCACATTAATTTCATACTACGACGAGCAATCTTTCCTCCTGTATAACTCAACCAGGTTCCTCTACCCTGAGCACACTGCCTTCAGTACTTAGGACATATACATCGACAAATGCGTCATGTGGGATCCCCTGCAAACAAACGATACAAACTTTATTTCTCGACTCTTAGATAAATCCAAACTATTCCTTAACAATAAAATCTGTGCCACACATTATTCAAACCGATGGATTTACTGTATGGAAATATGGGTCGAGGGGCAGAAATCCCTATCCCATCATGATTTCAACTCATAGAGTTTTAAATTGTTTTTCATTGTATAATTGAGGTACTAGTTTTATTTGTACTATTATGTATTTTCTACATAATATTAATTTATGTGTGGTGTTTAGTGACCGTTAGTCAATGATTTATTAATGCAATGAGTTTTTGTTTTATTTCCAATCTGGAACTGTCGTTCATTTAATAATTGCCTAGATACTTGAGTCATTTTTGTCATATTTGATGTGAATGTTCATACAAAAAGGTTTCTCCGAAATTATATTTAATAAGTTCCTACATTCTTCATTTATAACTTAATTTATTTTCTAATCTTTGTATGTTAGGACAGAAATAGGTTTAAGGTATAGACAACTATACTGGTTGATAGGACGTGGCTCNATATCAGTCAGACAGAGTTCTGTCATGGGATTACATAAATTTCGATATGCAGAATTGTTACTTCTTGTTGAATCATAGTAGAATTTGTTAAATTTTAAAAACGTTCAAATTACAATGTTTATTACAACGATAGAAGCTTTGCTGTTGATACTACCATTATATTTACGAAACTAGCTATTGGACAGAAGGTGAAAATGTCGTAATCTTTGTGATTAGTCGAGTAAAGCCAGGGGATGTGTTAGTCACATTTAGGAACTTGGGATTTATAGCTTGTATAAGGCATTAATGGTTCCTTAAGCTCTGTTGCAGGTGTCTCAAGATAAAATCTAACATTCTCTGACAATATTTTCAAATGTTTACCTCATTAAAAATTGTTGTTTTGATTGTTCAATTTATGTCAAACTAAAAGAATAATTATTCCCTCAATTTTCCCTCCTTTTTGCCATTTCAATTTCAAAATGCCTTTTTTCAAATTCAAAAGGTGGGGTTGAGATGGGAAGTTAGTGTCCGAGTGGATCGAGGTCACGATAACTGAAGTGGTAGTGCAGCGGCGCATCTAGCCGAAGGTCGTGGGTTCGAATCCCGCTCGTGACACTGCCTTTTTATCTCAACTAAAAACCTTAATTAAATTAAAGATATTAATTGGTCAAGCGGAAAACTAGTGAATTTTTGTTAGTGTTTAGTCTCGGAAATCATAAAAAAAAGAAATGTGTGGTGATTAGTGACCGTTGGTCGATGATTATTCGGAAATCGTGAGATACTGTCTGGTGTGATGTCGGTTTCAGAAAAACATTTTCTTTATCGTGATTGAATATAAAAACTATTTTTTTCATTGTATAAATTCACTTTTTTCCACATCCTACATGTATTTGTTAAATTTAAACAATGTTTGTAAATCCCAGGCCATGAAGATGATCTCAATAAAGATCGAAACATTGGCACGATAAAGAAAATGTTTTTCTATAACCAACGTCACACCAGACCGCGTCTCACGATCTCTTAATAATCAAGAATATTATATGTATTTATTAAATCAAATTTATAAACGTAATATCGCTATTTAGGGTATTTAGTGCGGGGAAATGAACAATTAATTCTGGGAAGTAATTAAGTATTATTTCTTCTGCAGTGTATTTGCATTAAAATTATTTCTGAGCAAATATGCTCAATGAATCTAAATAATTATCGGCTTTACTTTATTACCAATTTTATTTCGACAACACAGCAAAATGAGTTGAAAAATTAACTATACCTTAAAACGTTTTGTCCAAAGTTGCAAATCAACCTTTGGCAATTCAAATGTGCTAATATCAAATCATACGTCACTTGTAATTTCTCACGTAATTACTTAAGTCATTTGGAACTTCGTATTATAAATTATGCTATCTACTGATTTTTGACAGAATTTGACACAACAGTTATGCCATTTTTATATTTTATGACGTCAACATTACCATGTCAAGCCTCATAATTGACAAAATGAACGGAGGAAACGCGTGTTGAATAATTGTTAAATGCCTGGGATAAACGAGTTACCCAACTCGGTCTAGGCTCATTCAACATAAACGACGACCCGTATTGGTATGCAGATGTATGTTTATGCACTTACCCCATCAGGGCTGTACTTCGAGAGAGGGCCGGTGCCGCTGAACTCATCTAAGACAGATTGAACTGTCTTGCTCGAATCTGGAAAAAAATATTTTTTTTAACATAAAAACAATTGATATTTCGGAATGAGGGCAGGTTGGGTTTTTATATATTGAATATATTGCTTACAGATTTTCCGCATAGAAAAAGGTTAGTGCCAAAAAAGTAGCTTACTCTAATCGTGGTCCATCTCATAAAATTGTATGTTTAAGAATGCAAAAAATAATAATAATATTTATTTGCCAATTTGTCCATGGTGGTTATTATTAGATAAATAGTTACATAGACAAATTAGACAAAGGGCAAACAATGATAATATGTAGATCTAATCATAATCATAAAACAATAATAAAACTGCTATGTGCTGTAATTGCATCATTATTTTTTTTTTTTTTGGGGGGGGGGGTTAATAAGGATGTTAAAAATCTTTCCTCCACTGCTTCTATATACAGATCTAGTGAGGACCACTTATAAATTATAACCATGCTTTGGAAATTGCACTTTTTACTGTAAGGCTAAGCACTTTAGAAGAAGAAAGCAAATATTATTCTGTGTTTTTTGGGCCTCCTTGAGTAACAATTCATGTCAAAATGAATATATATGAAAAAAAGATTTAAATGTAATAACAAAACACTAGATGAAACGTACTAAATTAAATAAGAAGGAGGAAAATTAACTATTCTCGGTGGTAAATTCTAGGGACAGGAGGTAGTCGCAAAGACGGGACTTAAACTTTTCTTCGGGGCCTCTTCGTTTGTGTGAACATTGCCTTATCGACTGCATTAAACAGGGATTAGGAAGGTAGAAGAAAACAAAAGGTTGTCTCTCGTTCCACCTGCGGTATGTTTCCGTTTCTGTTTTGCCCATTTTCTTTAGTAATTAAAAGGACAGTGGTCGGTATAGAGGCCTATAATTTTCCTCAAATCCTGTCTGCTGAGAGAGAGGAGTTCTTTCGCTTTCCTTTTTAGGAGGTTTATAAATGAGGTGCCCAGTGTTTGAGTCCTTCTTTCTCAATCCATTTTTCCAGTTCCAGCTTAAGTACACACTCCGGAGTACTTGGTTAAGGTTTTAGTCCATTGGGCGAGAGGGTTGCACCTATTTGGCTGATTAACCTGTTCACCTTATCTATGCCTTCATGTCTTATGTTTTCATAGAGCCGTTAGACAATTTAGACTCTCCCAGACAAGCCTTACTGTCTGAGAGTATCTAAATCTGTGCACCTTTCATAGTTTCATTACCTTCTGCGCACAAAGTTGTATTGCATGGATCTCAGCTTGGAAAATTGTAGAGACTAGTCCAAGACTAACAAAGATATCCAATAATAACGGCGATACCTGATACAAGGAATGTCTGAAACGACAAACCTTGAGGATGATAATCTCACTCAAATATATTGTACGTCTTTTTCTATCAACCCATTTTTTGAAGAAGTTAACCCTCTACTGCCTTATTTGTCTTCAGAAATTCACATCCCTGTGTGCAAAATTTCCTCGACTTTTAACAATTAAAAATACAGAAAAATGCCATGCGCTGTTCGAATATGCCATGCTGGTGGCCGCGGCACGAGTCCCTTCTCTCGCGTCCGAGTTCTGAGATTCCACTGTATTAACATCGGTTCCGAACCTCGCTGATAACAAAGAAAACGAATCATCGGACGACGGATGAGCATAATGCATAAAGGTCAAGCGGAACACAAAAACTAATGAATTTAATAAGTTAAAATGAAGTGTATCTTCACTAAAGCTCTCCGTGGTCATTTCATTTTTCGCCGAGAATCAAATAGATTACACGACATTTGAAAAATGGAAAAAAAAGAGGAAAATTCAAAAGGTGGGATTGAGATGGGAAGTTAGTGTCCGAGTGGATCGAAATGATAGCTCAAGTGGTAGAGTAGCGGCGTATCTAGCCCAACGTCGTGGGTTCGAATCCCGCTCGTTACACTAACTTTTTAATTTCAACCAAAATATTAATTAAATTAAAGACATTAATTGGTCAAGCACCACGAAAACTAGTGAATTTAATAATGCACAAAATAGTATTAATTTGTTCAGCAGTAAGATAAGCTTTTTCGCCAGTGTCATTATAGATTATTTGAAGACACATGAGGTAGATAAAGTAATGCAAGAAAATAGTTAAATCAGAGAAGATCATGTCGGATGTGTCGGCTTTGAAAATCAGGCAAGAATGTCGCAACAGTTCTGGCGTTGACATGACGCTCTTTATTGTAAGTTAAAGGTCCCGGGTTCAAATCCAGCGGCTCTGCATTCGAACCCGACATATTTACAAATGGGATTTTTTTCAAAAACACCGGAACCCCGAGGGTTGTTATAATCTCTGCTGTTGTGAACCCTCGTTAAAAGAGTCTAAATCAGACCTTTTTTTAAACTAAAATATTCACAGTATTTGTTGTATGAACACGTTTATCGTGCAATGAAAATAATAGTAATTGGATGGGGTGCCACGGCTTAATTAGGCGTTGGCACGGCGCTCATCACTATAAGGTAAAGGTCCAGGGTTCGACTGCAGGATTCGAAACCTACGTACTTACAAATGGGCTTTATTCGAATCCCGCTCGTGCCATTGACTTTTTTATCTCAACTAAAAACCTTAATTAATTGTAATATATTAATTGGTCAAGCGGACCACGAAATTAGTGAAAGTAAGATTAGCTTTCCGCCAGTGTCATTATAGATTATTTGAAGACACATGAGGCAGGTAAAGTAATGCAAGAAAATAGTTAAATCAGAGAAGATGTCGGATGTGTCGGCTTTGAAAATCAGGCAAGAATGTCGCAACAGTTCTGGCGTTGACACGACCTCGTTATTGTAAGGTAAAGGTCCCGGGTTCAAATCTAGCGGCCCTGCATTCGAACCCGACATACCTACAAATGGGATTTTTTTTATATGAATATCAGAAAGAATTGTAAATGCAGCCCTGGGAGGTGTGGTGTAATTAATTGCTCACTGAAGCTGTTGTCAATTGTATACAAATAAAACTTTTTTTCTTTATACATAATGTAACTGACTCTTATAGAAAAATATTTTCGTAAACAATCACAAAATTAAATTAAACAAATCCTCCAGCTCACTTAACAAATAAATAAATTTATTTACAAACAACTTAATTAAAATAGACCTTGTTATTCGCTTCCCAACGTGCTGAATGCTTTCCCTGTTGAAATAATTGAAATACTTTTTATGTCTTAAGATTCTAGCGTAATGAAGTCCCGAGTTTTATTTAATGAAAATTATGTTTCATTCGAGTTTAGAATTTGATTAAAAGTTTAGACATTGATGTTGTGAAGAAATGTCTGAATATACCTGTTTCACTAGTGAAAAAGCCAAAACTTTAAACCGCTTATTCTTATTGCATTTGTACCATAGGTATCAGAAACATGTTTACAGGAAAAGTATTCAAATTTAGGCAAACCGTTGATAACAGACAAAATAACGCAGAGACTCCATCAGGATTTTTTATTTGCATAATATTTCGTTCACTCTTTTCAATTACACTAGTCTGATAAACTATGAAGAACTAGATCATTTCCCACTTGGTAGCTTTTTTTCTAAGTAGCAGAAATAATTTAATAAAATAATTAAAAATTTCTAGATTTTGATAGGTTTTTTCTACTATGGAAATGTATATTTATTGTATGTGTACATAAGTTAGGTTCATATGAAGATTATATGAAATTTTCTAGTTGTGTTTATTTTATGAATAATTAAAGTCCTCAGGGTAAAACAATATTAAAGATGCCTACAAACTGACATAATTAAGTTTTTAACAAATTGTCTCAAATTTCTTTGATAGTCCCAACATTGTGGATCGGACTGACAGTCTGATACTATCTTCAATAAAATTAGAAACTATTTATTTAAAAACTTAATTATGTAAATCTGTAGACATATTTCAGATTGTTTTGACGATTTTAAAATAGGTCGAAAGCTTGGCAGGCACAATTGAATTTGTTTTTGTCGTGAAAACCATAAAGAGATCCAGATTATTCGTGAATAGAAAAACGGTTTTAAACGTTTATTTTAATTGAAAAATGTTATGAACGTTATCTCAAATAAGTGGGAAATCAGTAGGATTAAATCGGATTTGTGCCTTCTTTCTCCTGTGTTTTCAGTTTTCTTGTTTCAATATTTGACACAACTGCAGCCAGTAAAGCCCGACCGTGATTCGCTTCTCTGCCGACTTAAGCAAATTGTTGCCAGAATTATTAATAATCTTCAAACGGGCTGGCTGCCCCACCGCAAATCCGTTGCTCGGACAAATTTAATGTTTCTCTTGCCGGAATGATGCAGTAATTTATTAATAAGACCTGGAATTATAAATGCCGTTAAGTTTTCACGCCCGGATACGCCAGTGTAAACACTGTGAGTGCCATGCGCCTTTTTTTACAACCTGCGTATTATAATTTAAATTTATAAACATGTTAACAAAGCATGTACAACAACGTTGACGGCAGCACCAAATCTGTTTCAAGAGATAGAAAAATGCCTTCATTGATTTTTCGTACAATAAGCAGAAATATTATACTTAAATCTTTCATTATTTATTTAGAAATCGTGAGATGCGGTCTGGTGTGATCTAGGTTTCAGAAAAATATTTTCTTTATCGCGCCAACGTTTCGATCTTTACTGAGATCATCTTCAGGGCTCAAAGTGTTTGTCTTCTGTGTAATTGTGTCATTCTTGCATGTCGTGTCGAGAGTTAAATATTTCAATTAATTATTCTTTCTATGTAAGATCTTGGTTGAGATAAAAAAGTTAGTGTCACGAGCGGAATTCGAACGCAGGACCGTCGGCTAAATACGCCGCTACTCTACCACTTGAGCTATCGTGACTTCGATCTTCTCGGAATTGATTGAAAGAAGTAACTTGGTAAATTGTCCACTAAAACGTAAATGGATTATATTTAAACATCGTTCCATGACCATCAGCGGAGTTGTTGCTTAGTTATAAACTTTATAATTACACAAAACGTAAAAATTGAATTTTTTAACTTAGTAGTTCTAACTACAAGCGTGTAGTTCT